TGTTAAACTCAGAATAATAAGCAAACCCCTGCGGAGTCACAGAATACGAAAATCTACGGGTTACTTTAAGGTTCACCGAACGTTTTCTCACACTCATTTTTTTACATAACAACGATACCAATTTATCATACTCCATTGTAAGCGGCAATTTAACATGACACTGTAGAGGTGAACTATACCTCACAGAGTTATTCTCCATTACAACCTATCCCCTCCCCCCCCCAATATAATGAAACCCTTATTTTTGGCTCTTCAAACGTTATAAAAAAATGCTTGATAACAAGAAGAGAAGTATGAACGGAAGTTTGAAGGAAAGTTTTGAATGGATTTTCATAAAATCCTAACGCCTTTAAATAAGGCAAGTCCTAGCTTGGGATGCAGAATTTTTTTATGTAAAATGCAGTATAATACCACGCTTTATGTATTTGAATTATTGTTATGTCAGTTATCCACAGAACAATTATTGGTGGGCCCAAAAACGAAGTAAAATAAAGTATAATACTGCGTTTTACACAAAAAAATAAATTATTTATGTTAGTTATCCGCAAAACACTTATTGGTGGGCCCAAAAATAAAGTAAAATATAGTATTATACTGCGTTTTACATTAAAAAATAAATTATTAAGTAAAACGGAGTATAATACTGCGTTTTAGTTAGAAAGGTAACTTTTTTTAAGTTGTATAAAGGTATTTTGAGTCCAAAAAGTCATTATTTTGGTTTCGAACTCCATTAAGAGCTCGTTTGGACATAATAAGTTTTTCCCTTTTTTCATTTTATTTTTATTTTTTTTGAAGTTAGCATTCGTTCATAAAATTTTCAATTTTCACTTGAAAATGTATTTTGGAAATTTTCAAAATTTTGAAAAACTCTAAAAAATTATTTTTCAAAATCTTCACTCAAATCACTCACAAAACTTCAAAAACAAGCCAAAATTATATTAATGTCCAAACACAACTCTAAATTTCAAATAACATTTTTACTTGAAAAAAAAAATTCCCCTATTTTCGAATTTTACAATTCTTATGTCTAAACGCCCGCCAAGTGGGTATTTGGACATAAGAATTGCAAAATTTTGAAAAAAGTAAAATCTTTTTTTCAAGTGAAAATGGCATTTGAAAATTATACTTGTGTTTGGACATTAATATAATTTTGGATTATTTTTGAATTTTTGTGAGTGATTCGACTAAAAATTTTAAAAAACGGCCTTTTGGAGTTTTTAAATTTTTTGAAAATTTCCAAAAACTGAAAATTAAAACTTTTATGTCCAAACACTTATTTTGTAAAAAAGTAAAAACTTATCAAAAAAAAGTAAAAAAAAAAATCATGGCCAAACGCGCTCAATAAAATCTCTAAATAATTTTTTGTAACAAAAAAGTCACTCTGCATTTCCTCCAACTTTGCTAAGTCACAAATTTTATAAGTATCCACTATAATCAAGTGTCTTTCAAACCAAAAAAAATCATAAATATTACGTCCACTGCCATCAAGTGACTTTGTGCAAAACTTAAGCAAAATTGAATGACACTTTTTTTTCTCGCAAAAAATAGTATAGTGACTTATCAAAAAAAAGAGAGCTTTAGAGCAATAGTAATATTATCCCCGTGTGACTTATAAGGACCCGTTTGATCATAGATTTTGTCAAAATATATTTGAATTTTTTAGTAAATACAATATTCATAAATTTTAGGGAGTTTTAGAGTTTTACCCATAAAAATCAAACTAATTACTCTTACTTACCCATTTACTTTTGTACCTATCAAACTAATTACCATTCCTACTCATTGTAGCTTTTATGGGTAATTGACTCTTTTTTTTTCTACATTTCTTTTTTCCTCTTTTTCGTTATTTTTGCTCTTTCTCCCTTTCTGTTATGTTTTTTTCAATCATATTATTTTTTTATTTTCTTTTTTTTTTTTATCATAATTTGATTCCATACCAAATTTTGGCTCCTTTATTTTTATTTTATTTCTTTCCTTTTGTTCATTTTTCTTTACTTCTTTATTTCTTTTCAAATTTCATTTAACTCTTTTTTTCCCTACATAATCTAATCACATTCACTTTTTTTTTTGTTCCCTTTATTTATTCTTTTTTATTTTATATAGCAATAAGATATAACTAATATAGTAAACATTCATTCACAAAAAAAGCTCAGTCCTTTATGATACCAAACTGATATACAAGTATACCATTTTGGTATATAATACAAATTTATCTACTTCACTACCTCAACATCATTTCAACCCAGACTTCACAGCTCTAGTGCAAAATCTCCACCAAATTAGCTCAAAAATTAGCCACATGCTCCATTAAATATTTCAAATTAAGTGTTTTTGTTTAAGAATTTTTTTTTAAAAAGGCGTGAAAACTCAATTGAAACATTGAAAAAGGTTCAAATGAAAAAGATACCAACCTGGTATATATCATATATTAACAGGGTATCATAGAGGACTGGTTCATTCATTTAATTAAAAAAAATACTCATCATTCCTGTATGATACCCATATAGTATATATTATTACTGATATGATATAAGTATGGTTCATTCCTTAAAAAAAAAGCTCAGTCCTCTATGATACCAAACTAGTATACATGTATACTAATTTGGTATATAGTATAAATTCATCTTTTTCGCAAGTTCAACTCAATTTCAACCCAATATTCACAACTCTAGTGCAAAAAAACCAAATGGCTCAACTTTAGCCACGACCTCCATTCAACATTTAAAAGTAAATATTTCTGTTTAATAAAAATTTAAAAAAGGCATGAAAACTCCACTAAACATTTAAAAAGATTCCAATAAAAAATTCAATAAATTTAAAAGGGACCAAATTATAACACCAAATTATTTGTGGTGTAAAATAAGGCACATATATTTTGTGTGGCTATAAATTATTGCATAAAGGTAAATTGTTTCCAAATAAGGAAAGGAGTCATTCTTTTTGGCACAGACCAAAAAGAAAATAGGTTAACATAAATTGAATCGGGGAGTATTAGTTTTGCTGCTTTTGGTGTGTAAGAGCCACGGCCTTTACATTGTGGGAGATTATCAATTCTCTGTCTAATTGAAACACTTTTAACTTGGTTGAAATGTTCAAAGCCTTTAGATAAGGTGTCTAAGTGGAAAATTGGGACAAGTTTACGGGGTCATGTATGTATTTGGCCTTGTAATTAGTTTGAGGGTAGATAATTAGTTTATGTTTTATGGATACTTTGTGTAGATTTCCCTAAATTTTATCTATATTGTGGCAAATTCCCAAAACCAGCTGGCCTAAAATAGTACTATTACATTTTTAAAAAAGAGAAATTTTCATAAAGCACTATCTTTTAGTGGTAATGAGCTATCTATAGATACCATTTGCTATATTACGGATTGTAGATACGTTTTTTGTTGTTATAAGATGTATTAGATGTATTTAAACTACTGTATTCATGAATACAATAGCAAAAATAAGCGTGAATTAGGGAAGTCCAGCTAATCAGTTGTTGTATTCGAGTGTATTCGACTGTATTCATGGCGTGGAACATGGCATTACAGCTGGATAAATTACTGTATTCGACTGTATTCACGGCGTGAAACAGGGGATTACACTGTTTTTAAATGGAAAGTGTATCAATTAACATAATAGACTCCTAATATAACTCAACAAACTCAATTATAACACACAAAATTTGTATTTAATGAAATACAAATTTGTATAGCAAAATTTGTAATACAATGAAATACATAGAATACAACGGGATACATTGAAATACAATTAAAAAAAGATAGTGAATACAATGAAATACACGGAATACAACGAGATACATTGAATTATAGTGAAAAAAAAGACAATGAATACAATGAAATACATGAAAATACAGCGTGATACGTTGAAAATACATTAAAATATATTAACAGAAAATTAAATTGCTCAGCCCCAAACTCCTCGTTTTTGTTCAAGAACTAACCCTAATTTCCGCCTTGTAACCAATTAGTCCTTTCATCTTCAAAGATTTTACACGCTCAAACCTGGAGGAAGTGACTGCTGTGAGAAGGAAATCCTTGAATTCGTTAGAAGGAAATCCTTGATCTTGACAGATCGTGCATCATTCCTTCTTAATTTCATGAGAAGGAAATTCCAAATGTTGACAGATCGTGCATCCTTCCTTCTTGCTGTGAGAAGGAAATCCTTGATTTCGTGGATTTGCTTTGGCATGATTGGGTCTTCGGGTTAGGGTTTGTTGTTGATGTGCTGCTGGTCGCTGGAAATTTTAATGGGATGGGGGAAGAGAATGATATGTATCAAAGTAGAGAAAGAAAGAAAATACTGTAACTAAATAACGTATTTAGTGACTTAGGGGTAGGAGGTAATCAAAATTAGATATTTTGCTATAAACATTAAAAGGTATCTATAGAATATAATTTTTTTAAATAGTATTTATTTAAAATAAATAAGGTGTTAATCTTTGCTATAGGAGGTAAAAATTCCTTTAAAAAATTGCCCCAAACTTTTGTATTTTATAAAGAGCCCACCATTTATTATTTGTAACAGTGTTATTTCATCCTCTCGGTCTCATCTGATAGTGTATTATGTAGTTCATTATAAAAATGATAATTTTGTACCAAATTTATTTATGTTCAGGACTATAGTTTGCGATAATATAATAAATGTTATTGATGAAGGTATTGTTGGGTATTTGTAATAGTTTTAGAACTTGTGGATATAAGTCATGTTTCATATTTTTTCAAAAAAAAAAAAAAAAATGAAATATGTTTTACAAACTCATGTCCCAACACATTTCATCTTCAAACCAAACTTTACCCAAATTAGATTTTTCAAAACAAATTTTGGAATCTTCGGCCAAATGCTAGCTAAGTCATGAGTTCAAGTCGTCGAAGCAGCCACTAATACTTGAATTAAGATAAGTTGTCTACATCACACCCCTTAAGGTGTGGACCTTCCACAGACCATGTTGAATACGGATGCTTTGTGCACCAGACTACCTTTTAGTATAGTGATTTATGGTGATAAAATTTGCTAAAGCGCCTACCTCTTTCAACAAAATAAAATAAAATGTATGTTCCACTCAACTTACAGTTCTTGAACCTTTTATAATTCCATTATGCAGTTGTATTTGGCCATTTAAATTAGATCTCTATTTCAGTAAAACAAGAAGGGGTTTACAGAAACCAGCTAAAAAACTGCAAGTTAACCAATAGAGCTTTCTCCTCCAGCAATCAGTGACTTCATGGTATGTATTGAATCAATTCAAATATCTATATCTCGCGTGCAGTGTTGTCCGCGTCATCATTTGGTGTTACAACAGCTTGCAATTTGTGCAGCCAGTCGACGTATTGACCTTGCTCCTTTTTGTGTAGGTGGAGCAAGAGTGAATCCGCGAAACTTTTACTAACTCCTCTTGCTTCTAGATATTTGTAGAGCTCATCTTGAAGTTTTTGATCTAATGAACTGAAAAAACTGAAAAGGGGATACAATAAAGGAACTCATTAATGTTCATACATATTTGAACAGAAATATGATGCAAGAAACTGAATAGGACATTCTTGAAATAAACGCAACCAGCGACACTTGAGATTGTCACAAAATAAGCCAAGACGAATTGTTCTGTTGGAGCAACAAAAGGGACACACAACATCAAAAGCATCTCAAGAAGCAGACATAAGAATTCAAAAACTCAAACGAATAGTTCCAATGAAACCTTGAAGAAGTTTTTAAGTATTCAAATGAAATGCTCAGATGGCTGACCATCATGACGTGCCAGCATAAAAACACAAACCTTCTAGCGCTGAAACTAAATGCCAGCATTAGAATTTTAAAAACTCAAACTAGTACTTCCAAGGATAATTTCAAGAATTTCTTTCAACAAGAGAGTTTTCCTAGCCATTGTTACTGTTTGTTTATTGTGTCCTTTTCACTGTTCTTGAGCCGAGGGTCTATCGGAAACAACTTTTCTACCTTTCCGAAAGTAGGGGTAAGGTATGTATACACACTATCCTCTCCAGACCCCATGTGTGGAATTTCACTGGATTTGTTGTTGTTGTTGTTTGTCTTTCAACAACACTGCAACCTACGATGCAATCATGCAGCATTCTCCTGATTATTTCTCCTTGAAAAAGCAATCTTGTGAAAGACAAAGGTACATTTCAATTGTCATAGTTGACACCTTAGTCACCAATGTAGCAGAATCTACATTTGACCAAGTAGGACGAAAGAAATTTATCAAAACACGACAGTTATTTAAAAGAAAAGGCAGAAACAGCATATACAAACTAAGCAAAGCAAAAACTAATGCTTAGCTTTTTGTCTAATTGAGATGAGATATTTGAGATATTTATTGTTCTTCGAGTTTTGCTACAGATTTCAGCATTTTGGAATCTCAATTGTCAGCTGGTCTAGCAAACAGTTTTTTTCTTCTTTCCCTTTTTGGGCCATTACTGCAGGAACTTGGTCACATTTTCCAAACTAGCAACGATGCACCTATCTGAATATCCCAATCTTCACTGTCATCTGTTAAATCAATCACTCAACTAGGCGGCAATCCTAAACAGTTGGAGTTCACTAAAATCATTTATGACCGCCATTTCAGCCTGGTTCCGGTAGAACATTAGGATTCAAAATCAGGAACATTTGAGGATTTTGAAGTCTTCTTCGCATCAATTACTCAGTTTCGAGGAGAGGTAAATGGGAAGTGAATACCCTTCGAGAAATCAGTCGAGAAGAAAAAGATAAAGCATCAACTTTAGTGGTATCCACACAATCCATGTACAATACTAAATTTTCCAACCAAAACCTTCAATTATAGCTCAGAAAGTGTTGAACAGACCAAAAATTGAATATCTTTACCACCTTGGCGAGGTGAGAAGGGATCGACAAATTCGACATGCATGTCTAGGAGAAAACTTAAGGAGTTTCATAAGAAGCAATAAAGAACGTATTGAAAAGGCATATCTTGACATGCATACGGGCTAGAAGAAACACCAAACTGTTCTCCCAGATTTGGAAAATAAAATCAGAATAACCAACTGCAGTAAACTTATGAGTCCAAAGCTGAGCTCCCAATTCCCCAAAGAAAAAATTGTATGACATTGCTTAAGAGGACAAAAGTACCTGAACGAGGGACCTTTGAAGGCTGAAGAATCCAGGGCTGATGATAGAATGTAGTTCACGTTTTGAATTTCAAAGTCACAACCATCACCAACTTGGGCAGTTGCTACACAATCAAACTCTAGCACGGAACTCAAGCCAGGCTTCTTCACACCTACTTTCATGAAAGCTTCCCTGGGAAATTTCACATTTTCATTAGAGCTCTCAGCACCCAATAAAGCAGAAACAGCAACTTCCTCCCCTGATTCGCATCTCCTGCGTAGAACCACATCTTGAGATTGTGGTGAATCCCAATCTACAACAAAATCTCCAAAGCTTCTACTTTCATCATTCTGCATTAATAAAAAAAGGAAAACAAAACATAAAAAGTGCTCAGATAGTCTACAAGAAGAAGAACTATAAATTGCAGCATAGTTACCCATCGACCATAATAAAGGTGATTTCAGCTTCTATAGGCTGGACTAATGTGTCTTTGAAGGGAAAATAGATAACAGAGGAACAGATGAAAAACGTTTTATACAAGACATAAGGTGAATGCAGCCATCAATCCATCATCAACACTTCTTCCACCGCATATTGATGTTATAGCAGCTTTATTTTATTGTCCCTCCGGAAAAAAAGAAACTTTTTGGTTGTGGTAACAAGGAACACCACTGTCATAATTTAGCCGACTTCGTGGAATACTTAACAGAGTCTTCTATATGACATAGGTTTTTGTTTGCTAGTGTTTTGCTGCTCTTTGTACTCTAGCTGTTGCTTTTTCTCAATGATTCGCTTGCTTTAACTTGACATCATCTTGATGTTCTTTTATTAACAAGTTGTTTTTACTTAACGACGGAACATTTGAATGATTTACTTCATTGCTTGTGATAAAAAGTATGCTAAATCAACTGCATCAGAAAAACACTAAAGATAAACTATATAATAAAAACATTACAAAATTTAGCTCCTACACTTGAATTTGGGTAACGGGTCGATTATCCCGGGGATGGGGAGATCGACGAGGATGTCACACACTGTATAGGAGTGGGGTGGATGAAGTGGAGTTTAGCATCTGGAGTCCTGAGTGACAAGAAAGTGCCACCGATACTCAAAGGTAAGTTTTATAGAGCGGTGGTTAGACCGGTTATGGGGCTGAGTATTGGCCAGTTAAGAACTCACATATCCAGAAGATGAAAGTAGCAGAAATGAGGATGTTGAGGTGGATATGCGGGCACACTAGGATGAATAAGATTAGGAATGAGTATATTCGGGAGAAGGTGGGTGTGGCTTCCATTGATGACAAGATGCGGGAAGTGAGGCTTAGATGGTTTGGGCACGTAAAAAGGAGAAGCCCAGAAGCCCTGGTAAGGAGGTGTGAGCTACTGGCTTTGAAAGGCACGAGAAGAGGTAGAGGGCAACCTAAAAAGTATTGGACAGAGATGATCAGGCAAGACATGGCGTGGCTTCAGATGTCGGAGGTGTGGCCCTTGATAGGAAGCTGTGGAGGTCGAGCATTAGGGATGTAGGTTAGGAGGTAGTTGAGTTTATTTCTACTTCGTACCAATGTAAGGCTAGTCTGATAGGACTTTTGTCTAGGACTGCTAGTGGTTAATTTTGTGTTCACACTACTCTTCTGTTTTTCATAGTGCCGGGTCTATTTACTGATTATTGCTTTTGCTTTTTATCTAATTTCTGGTTTCTATGATACTTTTATTATTTCTATGGTTTCTGTTGATGGTACTAATATATTGTCTCTTTTCGTCTTCTTGAACCGAGAATCTTTCGGAAACAATCTCTCTACTCCCTCGAGGTAGGGGTAAGATTTGCGTACACACTGCCCTTCCCAGACCCCACTAGTGGAATTTTACTGGGTCGTTGACTCGTTGTTGTTGTTGTACTTGAATTTGGGTAACCTGATCACTTGAAAATATCACTTTCAATCACAACAAATCAATCAATCAACTACTGCTGAATCCCAATTCCCAAACTAGTTAGGATCGAACATATGAATCCTTTGTATCCTTAAAACAATACAAACTCAGAGGATTCATTTTAATTCAATTATCTTTACGCTAGCCATTAACCTACTGCACAAGACTTAAATTGTTCAAATATATCATTAAACCTTACACATGGGGTACCAAAAATTAGGTGAAAAATATATATGAAGATAATTTCCAAAAAAAATGGACAAATAAATACCAATAAAAGGACTACTTTCTTTCAATGACTATTTTTTGTTTTTGGTTAATGGTGTCCGGGTCAGCTTACTGGCATCTCTACTATTCCACCAGGCACCTATTATTTCCCACCCACTGGTTTGTTCAAAAATACCCTTGAACCCTTTTTCATATCAAATGCAAGTAATACCAAATTTGGGTGAGAAAGTATCAACTATAATTCCATAAAATTGACAGAAAATACCACCAAAACGTAATGTTAGAACTTAGAACTCCACTACAATAGTACAGGGGTGGAGCTGGAATGTCAGCTACGAGTTCGTCCAAACTGAATAGTTTTTATTCAAACCCTGCATTTGTCGGAAAAATCCATTGAATGTGGACAAATTTTAATTTAAAACTCAGTAACTTAAAATGATTAGAACGCCGAAACCATAAGATTCAAATCCTGGCTCCGCGTTGTTGATAGAATACTCAACAGTACTGAAACAATACAATGATAACCAGAACCCAATATCTTCAATTTGTTCAAAAATACCATTAAACCCTTTTCACATAAACTTCATGGGATACCAAAAACTGGGTGAAAAAATAAATATGAAGGTAACAACAACAACTACCCATAAAATCCCACATAGTGGGGTCTGGGAGGTTAATGTGTACGCAGACCCGATAGGACAAAGAATCTGTTTCCGATAGACCCTCGGGTAGACAAATCATTAGTAACTCCAATAGAAACCTAACGAAAGACCCTCGGGTAGACAAATCATTAGTAACTCCAATAGAAACCTAACGAAGTTAATTTCAATAAAATGTACAGATACATACAACGAAAAATAATGGGTTTTTATGAAAATAATGCACCTGAAAAGGTTTAGCGGAGAGTTCGTGGTTGATTTCAGATTGCACAATTTTGAGCAAATCCAAATCTCCAATAGCTTTACCAGCTTGAAATAATACGGTTGGTACTCTCCTCATTCTTGTGCTAATTAAACTCTGCAGCTCAAATTGTACAGTTAAGAACTGCCTAATTTTTGGTAGGCTAAAAGAAAAATATTGGACCCTCTTTTTTTGTTGGTGAAGTGCACAAATAGCCGTATTTAAGACCTGGCCGAGTTTACTGAAGGAAAAAAAGTTGTTTAAAGTTGGCTAAACTTTAAATTATTTTTGAAAATGATTTTGTCACTATTTGGATAACTTACTGTTTGGATGGTTGTTACCCATTGTATTGTATCGTATTGTTACTTTAAATATGATGTTTGTTTTGATTGTTACTTAAATTTTATTATATCGTATCGTTAAATCCGTCGTTACATAACGACAAAATGTATCATTTTATGTAACGACCGATTTGGTGTGGTCGCGTCGTTACCTCGTCTTTTTCTCTCAATATCACCCTTTATTATTATTAAATAATTTTATTTTATCATTTACCCTACCTTTTTATATAGTAATTTTACCCTGTATCATAATTTTTCGTTGTAATTAATCAAGTTTGTTCTTCATATTGTTGGTGCGTGATATCATAAAACGATGACAAACGACACAATCTATCCAAACATTATTTTTATCGAACGATACAATACAATGCAATACAATACAGTACGATACAATACTTATGAAACAATGCGTAATAACCATCCAAACAAGCTGTTAAGCACTACAATATGTTAGTTACTGTTTTTTGTGATTGCAAATTAGTGTTTATTATAACTAATTTTGCAGGTAATCATGTTTTAAATTATCTGATCCTGCAAGTATCTTTTTTCACAAATAGTATTTATAAATTAAATTTTACACGAATTGTGAAATTTCACAAATGCTTGGTAAACATGTGAGCGAACTTAATTAACCATATTTCATAACCTATTACATTTTATGTACTAATATTATTATTTTGCATATTATTTAAATATTTACATATAATTAGTATTATTCTTGTTGCTTGTATATGGCTAGTTAATTATGAAGTAGTAACTAGTAGTATATAAGAATAACAAAATTTAAAGTTTCATAATGCAATTTCAGAAGTCCTAACATCAATGACATATTAAACCTAGGACTAAGGCATAATTAATGATAAATTGATCGAATATATAGAATATCGAACTTGCAAATGGGGCACAACTAATGGCAGACAGATATATTGATTAATATTCATCTCATTTGTTTATGTTCAGTATACCATATGACTAAATATAATATTCAAAACAATAATAATAGTAAAAATATTGGAAAATAATTTTTCGGGGTCCATTTACGGGCTACGGTTACTTTAAAATTTTAAAATATCCATGATGTTTTTTTGGGTTTTTAATAATCTATATATCTATCTATATATAACTAAAAGCGGAAGAAAAAGCATTCTCATTTCGCCAAGTGGCACTATCAGAATATGCCACTTGGCACTTTAGGACAATCCTCCAAAAAAATAGGAGCTATAAAATTATTTGGAAAAAAAAAATTGTTCACAATTTCAGATTTCATTATTTTTAAAAAATTAACTTATTTTAAAACATAGTTTGTTTTACTCTTTAACTTTGAACCATAAAGAGCCTTTTTTTTTAATAACGCTTTATTTAATTCAACATTTCAGCTTTATTTTTTTTAAAAGTTAACTAAGTTTAAAACATACATTTTAAAAATTTATTTGATCATCTACTTTTGAACTATGAAGACCGTATTTTTTTAAAGAAAAAGAAAAAGAAAAGTGCTTTATTTAATTCAAATTTCATATTTCATTAATTTTAAAAAGCTAACTGATTAAACATACGTTGTTTACTTAAAAAAAAAAAACTACTTTCCCTAAATTTTCTCAGCAAACCTACACTGATAGAGAGCAGTTGCTCAACCATAACATACGCACGATTGAAACCAAAACCATGTTGAGTTGTCCCACATCAGAGGGATTTTGGGTCCTTGGTCTCCTTATATAGCTTGGGCAATCCTCATCTCATAAGCTAGCTTTTGGGGCTGAGTTAGGCCCAAGGTCCATTCTTATCATGGTATCAGAGCCAGGCTCATCCTAATTATTGTTACCGATGTTGGACCCCTATTTATGTTGTCCACGCTCCAAAGGTCTGAGCATGAGGGGGTGTTGAGTTGTCCCACATCGGAGGGATTTGAGGTCATTGGTCTCCTTATATGGCTTGGGCAATCCTCACCTCATAAGCTAGCTTTTGGGGTTGAGTTAGAGGCAAGGTCCATTCTTATCAAACCACGACTGAAACCATATGGAACTGCTCTGCATTGGTGTTATGTTGTCCACGCTCTAAAGGTCTGAGCATGAGGGGGTGTTGAGTTGTCCCACATCGGAGGGATTTGAGGTCATTGGTCTCCTTATATGGCTTGGTCAATCCTCACCTCATAAGCTAGCTTTTGGGGTTGAGTTAGATGCAAGGTCCATTCTTATCAAACCACGACTGAAACCATATGGAACTGCTCTGTATTGGTGTTACCGTATAGAGGGTGTGATCCACCTTCAGAAATGTCGACACCTTGTCCATTAATACCTTGATTCCACTCGTGGTGTTGGCTGGGGCAAAGACCTTCGTCCCCCTGCTCTTCATGGTCCAAAGGTTGAAGCTTTGGGATCGGAATGATTATTTTTTTGGTCCGTCTTCTCAGGTGATTATCTTTCAAGTTAGAAGTATAAAGTAGAGAGTTTGATGGATTACTAACTGATCAGCCTCATTCTCTTGCTATTTTTGATCATTTGCTCCACCACGAAGTAAAAGACCTGTTTTGTGATAAAAGTGTAAATGTAAAGATGCCAATGGTTTGCATCTGCTTTTAACTTCAGATTTTGCTTTTCTTGGCGCGCGCGCGCGCGCACACATATATATCATGATGGAAATAACCAAACGGTGAAAATATAACTGGGAAGATGCCAATAGTTGCATTGGCCTTTGATCTCAGCTTTTGTTATTGTTGGAAATATATGTATGTCTATGGGTGTTCATTGTTCGGTTTGGAACTTTTTTCTCTTAAAAGAAACCAAACTAAGTAAGTTGATTTTTCAAATATTAGAACCAAACCAAACCAAACCAATTAAGTCGGTTTTTTCTCGACTCGGTTTATATCTGTTTTTTGTTTTTTGGGGTTATTTGTCGGTTTTTTCTTAAATATAAGACATATTATCAACACATATTCCGGCGACTACATTTTCAACATAACACTATCAAATCAATTGTTCTTTAAGAAATCTATTATTTATCAAGATATGTTGATGATAATTGAATCAAATAGTGATGAATAATTTAAGAACTCAATTAAAAATATATTATTTTTAACACGAAATGGATTCTTACACTTAATAAAAGAAAATTACCAATCAAATTAGAATGTAAAGGTAAAGAACTATACGAAAATTGCAAACTATTAATATTTATCATTAAATTTTTGAAACTTTGTATAAAAATATACATATAGGTATAATAATAAATTTGAAATAACTACTCCTATAGTCGGTTTGGTTCGGTTTTTTCTGATTGAAACCAAAACCAAACCAAATTTGATTGGTTTTTTAAATTCAAAACTAAAACCAAACCAAACCAAAAAATATCAGTTTTTTGGTCGGTTTGGTTTGGTTTTCGGTTTGGTTCGATTTTTCGGGTTTTTACAAACACCCCTATGTATGTCATTACTGGAAATAAAGAGAAAAGGTCATTGCCCTTTGCTTTGTTTTGTCCTCATCCTAACTGGTGATATTCAGCCAGTTGCTTTGTAAGCTAATAACCTTTTGTAGTTCAGTGAGACCGCACCTCATTTCAGCTTTTTTGATACAAGTGCGCATCACAGAACTCCTCACTGATGTGAAGGGCAAATTGGTCTGTATTCTATCTTCGAAAAAGGGTCAAATATGTCCTTATACTGTTGAAAAAGGTCTAATATTACCCTTTGTTATACTATTAGTCCAAATATACCCTTAACGTCATACTATCGGTCCAAATATATCCCTGACATCATGAAAGTGGTACAAACTTACCCTTCCTCCGTTAACTGTCTCCCCTATGAACACATTTTATTGTTACCTCACCATTTCACCCTGTTTGTAGCTACCAAGTTCAATTACTTTAAAGTTCTATCATTATTTTGAAGACTTCATTGCCTCTACTTCCTCTTGCTTTTCAAAATACTTGTTGCTTCTCCAGCCGATCCTAAATTGTACGTACCTTTCACTTGATCTTACAATTTTGTGTTTTATTTTGCATTTCCTTGTGTTGCCGATGAATTTGTAAGACCTATTTAGGAAAAATTTAGTAGCACTTTTATTTTAACATAAAACGCAAAGGGAAAAAAGATGGTAGCCTTCCAAAAATGTGGTTGAAGAGAGAGAAACAAAAAAAATTAACTCTCGTGTGAGCGTGTCTAGGTTGTTTTTCTTTCTCACCATGGTCAATTTTGAAACCTTAAACTAGTATGTCTGTATCTTTGCTTAGTTTTTTATATAATACAAAATGTATTTTCGTTCGTATAAGTATGAATTTTGAATAGCAAAATCAGAATTTTCTCGGTTCACGTTGTTTCATATTATCTTTGGCTGTTAGCATTTATTTTGATATAGTTTGTTTGTATATCTATGATCTGTGATTTTCTTCAAATGAAAGGGAAAAAAAGGTTGTGGGGAAGGGATGAAAATGGGAGTATAATGGCGAGGTAGCAATGAAATGTTGTCATAGGGAGACAGTTAACAGAAGAAGGGTAGGTTTGTACCACTTTTATGATGTTAGGAATATATTTGGATCGATAGTATAACGTTAGGGATATATTTGGATTGAGAGTATAACGGAGGACAATATTAGATCTTTTTCAATAGTATAGGGACATATTTGACCCTTTGCCATTTTATCTTTTATTGCAAATTGTACCGTTTAGTATGGTTAAAGATTCAAATTTATCCCTCAAAAAAACTTCTATGGTACTCTGTTCTTATATTCAAATCTTCTACTGCTATCAAAAAATCAAGAAAATATATGTTTTTGCAAAATATGGCTACTCACATTGATTTAATCAAGGATATAACAATTTCGAAGATGCAATAGAAGTT